AATACGATTAAACGTTCGACTCATTTTAACAACCGAATCGTAGTCATTCTCGCCACGGTGCACGTCCTTTCTCACCCCCCGATCCACTCGCCGCGCTCACGGAGATTTCGCGATCTTTCGATCTCATGACGAGATTCGAAAGGGAGGAAATTTCCCAAACATTTGGTCCTTCGAGCCGGATGCATCGTGGTGACGTGACACTCAAGTTTGCGAGCACTCGATCTTTTCTCATATCGCGTACGGCATAAATTCAGTGCGTTTCCTTGTGATCACGTGCGCCTTTCGTGACAAGGACTCGCTGCCATCTCAGTGTTGTCACGACGTGATCACGCAGTAACGAAGTGACATTCTCGCGGGCAAATCGAGCAGCTGTGACTGTGAATTTGAACTTCGCTGTTTCGTGGCGAACCAACGATATCGGCTCTCAGTCGGTTCGGTGGCTCGTGCTGCTCAGTGGTGCTCATCGTGTGGTGTAGTGTTATCACCGTGTTCCGCTCATCATGCCTGACACAGACAAGGCCGCCAAAGCAGATGCTGAGGAAAAGACAACCTCGGGTCGGCAATCTCCTCTCACCCTCAATGTGCCTGGTCAACAGACCGCCCCCAAGGGGACAGCTTCTGGCAACACTCAAGGACGCAGCTCACGTCAGACTTCTCCAGCTCGTCTCTCCACCGAGCTCACACTCAAGGTGAGATCTCAAATGAGTCGTTTCAATACTATAAAACTCATTGCAGACGCGAAGGTTGTTGACCCCGAGAGCACATCACTCGGCGAGGTCAACGCAGCGCTGTCTCGATTGGAGGAGCTACACAAGGCGTTCTTGAAGGAGCACGCTTATTTCGAGATAACATGGCCTGAGGCATATTTAGATCACGAGTATTTTGCGGACAACATCCATGAAAGGGAAGCTCATCTCGTGATCTCAGCTAAGCTACTGCTCAACAAGGTCAAATAGCGGCTCACACCATCTTCACCGCGTGCAGCCTCTCCTGATCCGGAAAAGCCAGTCCACTCACGTTTGCCAGACATTAAGTTGCCGAAGTTTAATGGTGATTACTCAACGTGGCCCACTTTTCGTGATCTTTTCTCCTCTGTAATCTTGCAGCACTCCAAGCTCAATGACGTGGAGAAACTTCATTATCTCAGAGGCTGTGTGCAGAGCTCAGCGGAACAGCTCATTCGAGGCTTGCCTCTCACTGGAGAATCTCTTCAGCCATCCTGGGAGCTGCTCACCGCGAGGTTTGATAATAAGAGACTCATCATACAGGCTCACCTTGACGGTCTCCTTAACCTCTCACATGCCTTACCCAAGAACGCCGCATCGCTCACCAAGCTAGTCTCAACGGTGTCCGAGATTGATAAGGCTCTAAGTTCGCTTGGCATGGCGGAGCACATGTGGAATTGCTTCTTGGTCCATCACGTGTCACGCTTCCTGGATAGAGACACCAGAGAGGCGTGGGAAACCTCGCTTGGATCATCTCAAGAGTATCCGCGCTTTGCGAAGTTTGAAACCTTCCTCAATGCCAGGGCTAGAGCATTGGAGAGAGTGGAGGCTGCACCACCTTCCTCGGGCAACTCATCGAAAGTCACACCCAGCTCATCTAAATCTGCTAACAAAAAGGCGACTGCTCACCACGTATCTGCTCCCACACATTCTCAGCCATTCTCTGCTGCGGCTCACCCGTGTGACATGTGCAATGGACAGCACTTCATTGTAACGTGCTCAAAGTTCAGGGATCTCACGCCAGCACAACGGAAGACCACCGCAATCGACAAGAGGCTGTGCTTCAATTGTCTGGGGCGCCACAATGCCCGCTCATGTAGATCCGCGCTGAGCTGCAAGACATGCTCAGCCAAACATCATACGATGCTGCATGTGGAACAGTCTGCGGCCGCATTGACTCCTGCTCAACCTGCCTTCTCACCAGCTCACTAGGAATCAGGTGCAATCGTCAAGGAATCAATTCAAGCTCACGCACATTATTCAACGCTACTTGCAACTGCAATGGCATGCATACAATCAACGGTCTCAACACATCAAGCAAGGCTACTCATCGACCAAGGATCTGAGCTCACGTTCATCACGGAGGATCTCGTCAGACAACTCAACATACAACGTCGACACGCAACTGTCTCAATCATTGGCATTGGAGCCAGGAAAACGACTAGGACCAAGGGCGTGGTGACGCTCACGCTTCACTCCTATCATTCTAAGCACACTGCCATTATTCAAGCCCACGTCCTCAAAACACTAACGACCATTCTACCATCTTTTACAGCACCTCAACAAACGTGGCCACACATAGAACCTCTGACATTGGCAGACCCACAGTTCCTCACGCCACGCTCAATCGACATCATCATTGGAGCTGATGCATACGGGCAGATTATCAAGCCTAACATCATTAAACGATCTCCTGACCTGCCAATCGCTCAACTCTCAATATTTGGTTGGCTAGTGCTTGGTCCAGTCAGCTTATCACCATTACAAATGTCGACTGCACATCACATCAAGGTTAACCAGTACGATCTCGATCTTCAAGAATTGCTGACAAGGTTCTGGGTGCAAGAAGAGCTACCAACTGACCAGCTACAGCGGACCAGCTTACCTTGGAAGAACAACAATGTGAAGATCATTACAAGGCCACACACTCTAGAGATCCAACGGGACGATACATTGTACGCATCCCGCTCAAGCTTCCAACCAGTTTCTTAGGGAATTCACACAATACTGCTCACCATTGTCTCCAGCGCATTCTCAGACGACTCAACAAGGATAAGGAATATCAGAGCCTCTACACCAAATTCATGAGCGAGTATGAACAACTCAAGCACATGGTGAAAGTTGGATCACAACCATCATCCGATGTTCCGCCATATTATTTGCCTCACCATGGTGTGCTCAAACCTGACAGTACAACTACAAAACTGCGGGTTGTCTTTAATGGCTCGAGTCCGACCTCATCAGGATTATCTGTAAACGATCTCATGCACACTGGTGCAAATCTATTGCTCAATGTTTCAGACGTTCTCTTGTGGATTCGTAGTTACAGGTACATCTTTGCCACAGACATAACAAAGATGTATCGACAAATCAAGGTACACCACTCAGACTGGGATCTGCAGCGCATTCTGTGGATCGACGAACATCACAATGAAACATCATATCATCTCACCACGGTCACTTATGGAACGAAGGCTGCTCCATTCCTCGCAGTAAGGACACTCATGCAACTGGCCGAAGATGAAGGCTATCGATTTCCACTGGCAGTGCCATCAATCACTCGTGGGAGGTACGTGGATGATATTTTTGGCGGTGGTGACACAGGAGAACAGCTCATAGAAATTGCCCATCAATTAGAAGATCTCTGCCAGGCGGGCGGATTTCCTCTTGCCAAATGGCACTCCAATCATCCAGAATTGTTAAACGCCATCTTATTGACAGTCTCGATCAACTCACCAGCCACTTGACGATTGCGCAACCAAAATCCTCGGATTAAAGTGGCTGCCTCAAGAAGATGTTTTTACATTCTCAACAAGCTCAATTTCTCACCAAGAACAGCTCACCAAGCGACGTGTACTATCTGAAGTGGCACAGATATTTGATCCACTTGGTTTTGTCTCACCAATCGTAATAAGAGCCAAGATGCTTCTTCAAGAACTCTGGCTCCACAAGATCAACTGGGATGAACCGTTACCATCTCAAGTTGTCTCACGGTGGCTCAACATCAGAAAAGATCTCACAAGCCTGGCCAGGCTCTCAATTCCACGCTGGTTCAACATAAGCAGTGGCTCAACGGTTGAATTACATGGCTTTTCTGATGCATCTCAATTTGCCATGGCTGCAGTCGTATACATGGTCGTGCACACGCCGTCCAAGGGCGCCAAAACTTCTCTCATATGCTCAAGAACAAAGGTAACTCCATTGAAGAGGCTCACTATCCCAAGGCTAGAACTCACAGCAGCGCTGCTTCTTTCAAAATTGGTGAAATATGTCCATGCCACACTCAAGGTGGACATCAAGGAAACATATTTATGGACGGACTCTCAAGTGACGCTCACATGGATCAAAACACACTCATCTCGATGGAAGGATTATGTGCGCAACAGGGTATCACAAATCCAAGAACTCACGACACATGCTCATTGGAAATTTGTTCCAGGTACAATCAATCCAGCTGACTGTGCATCTCGTGGTGTAACAACAGCTCAACTTGAAGATCATACCTTGTGGTGGGCAGGACCACCATGGTTGGCTCAACCGAAAGATCGCTGGCCCGCTCAGCCAACGTGCTCGGACGAGCAGTGTACAACAGAATCGCGCCCAGGAGTGTCACTCTTCACAACTAACATAAAGGTGGATTACGACTGGGATCTCATCTACAAGTATTCATCGCTCAATCGACTGCTCAGAATCACAGCTCTCTGTCAGGTATTTATTCGACGATTGAGAAATCGACACGATGGCCCTCAAGCCTCACACATCTCAGTCGCTGACTTAGAGCAAGCTAAAATCTTCTGGATCAAGGTTACACAATCAACATTTTTTGCATATGAGCTGAAGATGCTCAGCTCACAATCACGTCTAGCAACTTCTCATCCATTCAGTCGTCTCACAGCATTTATTGATCATCAAGGAGTTGCTCGTGTGGGAGGACGACTCAAGAATTCCACCCTCAATTATGAAGGCAAACACCCTGCAATACTCCCTCGCCATTCGAGATTGTCTGAATTAATCATCAGCTGGTCCCACCAACGGACACTACATGGAGGAACGCAACTCACCTTGGCGCATATCAGGCAATCATATTGGATCATCGGTGGACGTGCGCCAGTAAAATCTCATATTTTGCGGTGTGTTGTGTGCTCGACAAAGGGGGATTCGTGCCC